AAAGAGAAAGAGTTCAAGGATCAGTTATACACATACTAGTAGAAGCCAAGCAAGGATACCACTATGCTATTAAATATTAGCTTTAATATTTAATAGAACAAGGTATCCTGTTCAACCCTTCCCTTAACTCTTGCTTTCATTTTTAAAAGGAAAGTAAAACCTTGGTAGAGTTCAGGACTGTTTCACCTACTTCAGTTATTGATATGATGCATTTCTATTATCTCCTGCACAGAGAACAAATCAGTTTAACACACAGAAAAGTCAGAGCCCATTTTCTCAATATTTTCAACATTAGGATAGAGTTCAATTAGAAGTGAGATTGTGCCAAATACAGCATTTCATTTAGAAGAAGCCTCACTGAGTGCTCAGAGCTTATTTGAGCATTGACTGATCTTACCTAACGCCTGAGCAGCTGCATTGGGGGATTCCTCAATTTACTGAATAACATTTTGTTTAATAAAATGCATTTTCTATTTGACATTTAAGAATCTCTTTACAGTGTCTAAATTTCAGATTTCAAAATTCAGCATGAGGCTATGACATTTTGGGAATGGAGTGACCCACATTGGGCCATTACCTCTGCACACACAATGTGTAGATCTTCTGTGGCTGACTTTTATAACGGGGGGAATTAAGAAATACTGAATCCTTACAATGAACCAGGGTACATTTGCATCCTATTTAAGAACAATCTAGCTTAAACTGTAGGTTGGCATTACTATTTTAATTTTTGTCTGAGGAAATGGATGTTTGGAGATATTAAATAACTTCTCAAGGTCACTTAGGTAGGAATGAAGAAGCTAGGGTTGCTTCATACGCCTGCTCATGTCAAAGTGAGCAGTGTACACATAAGAAAACCTGAAGGCCCGGATTCTAGCCTCGTCAATGAGGTATTTTATTTCTCTGACAAGATCTTTCTCATTATTCAGGTGTTCACAATTTATTATCTACTTATGTTATAAAGTTCTGTGAGAAAAAATGAGATAATTTATGTAAAACTAATATTTAATAGCATAGTGGTATCCTTGCTTAGCTTCTACTAGTATGTGTATTACTGATCTTAAGTCTCCCACACAAGGCCAATATCATAAAATTGTGTCTGAAATATACTACAGTAGAATTCATGAAGCTGATGGCTGGAGATATGCTGCATTTCACAGAACTTTCTTCTTTTCAGTTGCTATAAAGTTAAGGAAGAACCTGGGAATATCAAATGTTTTGAGGCAAATGACTTCCCTAAGGATATATGGATGCCAACAGGTTCATAATGAGTAGCTTAGAGGATAGCATTTACAGTATACATAGCCACATAAGGAGGGATGTGTACATTTAATTTTAATGATTTTTTTCATTTTTTGTGGAGTGATATTTTATGTTGAGCACTTGTAACATCCTAGCTTATGCCTTAAACTGTCTTTAAATATAAAATAGAAGCACATTCTGAATATACTCTTTCTCCTTTCTAGCAAAACATTCTATGCCATCCTTATTCTTTTATTTTGAAACCAAAAATTATCATATGAGTGAGATCCAGGACTTTTTGACCCTGAAGTTTGCTGGGCTCATTTTTCCTGACTATTACAATAGCTAAAAGTCTATATTTTCCCTAAGTCTCATAACATCACTTTCACTTTAAGGTATCTGAAATATCCTTTAGCATCTAATGTTTAATTAGTCAATAAGTGTAAATACATAATAGTAAATGTCTATACTATTTTCTTTTTTGTCCCTTTTTTCTTTCTTCCTTTGTTTTCCATGGTTTCTATAGCTTACAATGTGGGATTCATTGCACATTCTTTCTTTTTCTAAAGTGAGAATAAGTCAGATCTGTACTCTTTGTACAAAGGAATGTTGACTAATGATTCAGTTAATTTTGAATTTCATTTAAGCAACAAATTATTTCAGTATAAGTATGCTCTCTTCAAATATTGTGTATTTATTCTAAAAATGATTTAAAGTTTACCTAAAATTTAATTGGGTGGCCTATATTTTTCATTGCTAAGTCTGTGTCCTATTAATAGTCAAACATTTTGCAATCCATGGGATATATACCTTTTTACTTTTGAGTTTGTTGTGTGCCTGGCTCAGATGGCTTTTATTCTACTTCACTGATTTCCTTGTAAGATTATCATTGTTGCTTATTAATTTGGGTCCCTTTAGCTCCTTCTGGGACAAAATTGAAAAAGATGAGAGTAATTTTCTCATTATCTGGAGGCCTGAACTTAGCTAATTATTTTTCATTTTATTCACTTTTCAATTTAGCCCTGTAGGTGGTATGATTATACATTTATTTCCTCAAGAATTATTTTTTAAATCATTAATAATGTTCTATATTGATACTTGGAATTGAGACCTCTATCAGTTTTTAATCTTCCTTGGTAAGTTACACTTTGGATAGCATTCTACTCTCCCTTTCACTGATATATTCTGTGCTAAATTACTACATGTGTCATTCTGTATTTGAAAAGCAATATGGCTACTGTTCTTTAGTTATATTTCTGCTATCTCATCTTGGAAGTTTATAACATTTGAACTTTACACATGCGTCCTTTTGGAAGTTGTATTTTATTTTTTAAATGCCAAAGGAGCCTCCCCTTGAGATATGCAAATTTATACATTGGAATGTTGTTTCAAATGCCACCCCCCACCACAATCACAAAATTAAAGTTTTATCTAAAATTTTCACTTTATTTTCAAAGACCCATCTGTAAGAATTTTTCACTCACAGAAATAAATATCTTACTAAATATCAAAAGAGCAAACTCCTTAAAGAAATCATTTTTATAATAGTTGCCCTATAACAGTGTACACCCTACAGAGCCTCTTTTTTTTGGGGGGGGGTGTGGGGGTGAAGTACACTGAAAGCCAGTAAGAAGTCAAAAATGCCAATATATTTTTAGCTCATAAATAAAAACCTATAATCTTAGAAATCTATTACAGCAGACTCTTACACATTTACCCTTAGAACTATAATATAGATGAAACCATAGTGTAGTCTTTGAAAAAAATCTATCTTCCCCTTTTGTGATTCGAGATCAAGGTCTGCATAGCTGTTCTATGTGGAGGAGTCATCGGTGATTTTAGTATATTTTCTTATATAACTACTTATACTCAAGGCATCTTAACATTAGGTGTAATTTCCTAGTGGCAGCTTCTTCTTCGGTTGTTGAGTCAATACATTTATATTGTTCCTCACAATAAGCAGAAGCAGCTTCATTTTGTAGGTTTAAAATTTGTATTTTTCAATGGCATTGCATTATTAAGCTAGTGTTGATGCCATTGATGGAGCAGGCATAGCATTCTTACACCAAGATATTTAAAGATTATTAAACCAAAAGAAGATAACCTTTATTCTGCAAGAAATAATATAAAACATTTATGTGAAATTACAAAAGAAAAAAAAAGAGAGAGTTTTTTTTTTCAGCAGCATCTTTTAAAAATGTGTCCTGCATTTAATTTTTGAAAAGGAAAACCATTCTATTTTGCTCAGTTAAATTGTGGAAAAGCTCTGAGAACCTGGAAAATCAAATGGAGTCAATAAATGAAAGCTTCAATTGTTAGAGTTCAAGACCTCTTCAGATAACTATGACCCCCCATAAGAAGTCAACTCTCATAAAACTAATTCAAGCAATTCCTGGTCTTAGATAGAGCCCTGCTTCCAGCGAGGTCAAAGGAAGGTGCCAGTACTTTGCAGTTTGATGATCATTCTCATCAAAGGTGGGAACTCTATGTAGGAGAAATGCTCAAGGCCCAATAAGTCCTATGCCTTTAAATATTGAATAATGTACTATACTGGAGCTCTTCCCATTTTCATTCATGTTCTACTGTTTATAAAAAGACATAACTGTATATTGTTGAGACAAAAGAAAGTTAGATAGATAAGAGTGGGACCATGGGAGGAGGAAGTGAAACTGGGAACCCAAAGAGGCAGAGTTACTAAGGCACCCCAACTGGGTGGAGAAGAAAGGGTGCACAGAGAGGCATGGATGTATGAATGTTGCTAAGACAGACAACTTGCAGATAACCAATCACAAGGTAGTAAGGCATATAAACCAATCCCAAGGATGTTGCTAAGGCAAAATTCTTTGAAAAGACCAATGAGGAGCTAGCAAGGCTGTCTCCACCCCCTAAATTAAAAGGCACGCTTCTGCTCAATGAATTCTGGTGGGGGAGCACATTCCTGTGCACAAGTGATTTATGGCCATGTGGACCTCAACACATGGACTAATAGACTTTAATTAGTTTGGATATTAAAATACTCCTGACTATAACAGAAAGGAAGCTCTGGCCACTGGCCTGGTCCTGGAATCCCTCAACTTCATTCGATTTTGGGAAACAATGAACTCAGACTCAAACCCCACATTTTGGTTTCATTATGACTTATTTTTCCCTCAAATTCACTTACCTGGGAAATAAAAGAGGAGAAGAAGATGGGTCTTTGTTCTTTGGTAAAAGGTAATAATTCTAACTCAGTCTGAACTTTAATAAATAAGATCATCTTAAAAGTGGTCAACACAGGGACATTTAGCTTTGTCCTCCATCCCTGAGCTACCTTGAACTCTTTTTCCAATTTTTCTCTTCATTTCTGTGTTCCTATTTCCTGTTGTCCCATGTTTGGAAGCATATTTGATCCATAAAAATAGAACTTAAAAACAGTGTATCTGTCCACTTGCTTGTATTGACATGGGATTCATGTTGCCCGTAGGCACTGAAGGAGCGAAGAAGATGGGTCTTTGTTCTTTGGTAAAAGGTAATAATTCTAACTCAGTCTGAACTTTAATAAATAAGATCATCTTAAAAGTGGTCAACACAGGGACATTTAGCTTTGTCCTCCATCCCTGCGCTACCTTGAACTCTTTTTCCAATGTTTCTCTTCATTTCTGTGTTCCTATTTCCTGTTGTCTCATGTTTGGATGCATATTTGATCCATAAAAATAGAACTTAAAAACAGTGTATCTGTCCACTTGCTTGTATTGACATGGGATTCATGTTGCCCGTAGGCACTGAAGGAGCAGTATTCGGGCACTCAGTCGAGACACCTCACATCAGAGCAGAACCTTCCCAAGACCTCAGGTAAGTCCTGGCTCTTACACCTGTATCATTGTTTTCACCATTGTTGATCATCCTCAATATATAAAGAACTAAAACAGAAAATATGCTACATATCTGTATGACGAATTGACATTTGCTGCTACATGGTAGATAGTCAAGTATTGAATGAAGGACAAGAAAATATGTCTTTTATTCTAAAAAATAACCATCTGTATATTGTTTCCAAATAAGCATACAATGAATGTATATTAGGAGTTTGGAAAAATAAAGGAAAAGGCAATTTTAGCGTAGTTAGGAGGAGGACTGAGAATCATAGACTTGCTGGAAAATCTGTCATAGACAATGAAATATATGGTGCATAGGCTTAAAGAATAGGGAAGCAGAGATTAGGAGAAATCTATTAAAGGTCAGGGAGTGTTACGTAAAGGAAATAACAGAAACAAATATGGACAGTAATCAGGGAAAGGCAGAACTTAATTGCCCTATGATGGACTCATCAATCCAATATTTCCAGTGGAATAAGCTGCTTCCTGTTTTTAAGAGTCACAGTTACATGTAAAAGCTCTCCCTACCGAGAAGATTGTGAGATGACAGTATTATCGGAAATTCTCCCGGGGGAATCATGGCAACTGTTGATTAAAGTTAAAATAGTAAAAACCAGTAACGGATCCATGGATGTTCTCAATTCAAAAAGTGAGTTAAGCTTTAGGAATAAAATACATTTTAGTCAATTTATTGTGGTGACCATTTTATACTATATACACATAATATATCATATTACATACCTTATACTAATACAATACTATATGTTGTTTAAAAAAATACTTTACATAATTAATTTTGGATGAGCAAATTACATTCTAAAATGCATTTGCTAGGGTATTTTTATAAAATATCAACATGAAATATTGCCATTTGGGACAATATAGATGGACCTTGAGAATATCATGCTAAGCAAAATAAGTAAGTCAGGAAAAGCTAAGAACCATATGATTTTACTGATATCCTATATAATAAAAGCCTAATATGCTAAGTGTCCAATCATCTGGTTGGCTGTTCAACCAATCAAAGCGCAATATGCTAATGATATGCTAACCACTTGCTATGACGTGGACTGACCACCAGGGGGGCAGACATTAGACTGGTCGACCAGTCGCTATGACGTGCACTTACCACCAGTGGTCAGATACTCTGATCAGTAGGTTAGCTTGCTGCTGGGGTCTGGCTGATTGGGACTGAGCAAAATGGGTCAGACATGCCCTGGAGCCCTCCCACAGTCCCTCCCTGGCTGGCCAGCCTCCCACATCCCTCCCCGGCCCCAGTCATGCACCAGAGGGGTCCCTTGGCCTAGCCCGCACTCTCTCACAATCCGGGACCCCTTGGGGGATACTGGAGAGCAGATTTCAGCCTGATCCCACAGGCTAGTCTGAGGGACCCCACTGGTGCACCAGGCCTCTAGAGTGGGATATAAAACTGAAACTCATAGACACAGATAGCACTATGGTGGTTTTTAGAGGGAAGGTGGAGGGTTTAGTAAAGGGTAAAGGGGGTCAAATATATGGTGAGGGAAGATGATTTGACTTGGGTAGTGGGCATACAATGTAATATACAGATCATGTATCATAGAAATGTAGACTTGAAATTTATATGAACCTATTAACCACTGTCAACCCAATTAATTAATTTGAAAAGGACAATATTGATATTTTAAAAATAAATCAAATATTACAATCATATTTAAAGCTGAATCAAAGTATCTACCTGAGAGACTTTGTCTTGAAAACGCTATAAAAATAGTAAGAAAAAATGTTATTTCATAAATATCAGCTTTAGCCCTTCCCATTTTGATGAGTGGGGAAAACTGCTCAAGTGAAAATAGAAAAATAAAGTAGAAAAATGTTAATGCCAAAATAGACATGCTTTCAAAAGTGTAAAATTTTCAGACGTTTATAGTTCTATGATAAAATTTCCTGAAGAACTCAGTTTCTCACTAGTAGAGCAACCCAGATTGAAAGAAGCTACTTAACAATAACAGAACGTGCCCTCTTGCTGTGATGAAGGTATCTATAATAATGAAAGCGTAATATGCAAATCAACCAAACGGCCAAACAGTGGAACAACCATTTGGACAACCTTCTGGACGAAGCCGGGGCTGCGAGGGCCAAAGCAGCCACTGGGGCTGCAAGAGCCTACCCTTGCACGAATTTCGTGCATCAGGCCTCTAGTTTGTTTATAAAATAGCCATGATAATTATTTACGCTAGGCCAAACCCCCAAAGACTTAGAAGGATTGAAGACTATGTGTAGTGTCTCATAGTGTGTTATAGTCTTGATTTATGACGCTTTTCTCAGGAATTTAACATTTTTGTGTAATTATTAATGTTATCCCTCTCCACCTAACGAGGTTGCAGGCTCCCTTAGAACAGATCTGCATCTTCTTTGCTTATTACCTTTAGTTCTGTAGCACCCAGCACTGTATCTCACACATTATAGTGTCTGATAAGTATTTGTTCACTTGAATTACTGAAATTTAGCAAAACTGAATACTGAGGACTACTAAATGCATGTATATAAGAAATGTGGCAGCATTTGTTATCCTATTGCTAAGGCATATTTAACAAACACTAATTTCAGTTGCTTTTGAACTGTTTTAATATAAATATCAGATTTAATGATTCATTCCATAAAAATTTTAAAAGTACTAAGTTCTAAAAGAAATTTTAACAAACACTAATTTCAGTTGCTTTTGAACTGTTTAAATATAAATATCAGAGTTTAATGATTCATTCAATAAAAAATTTAAAAGTACTAAGTTCTAAAAGAAACATTTTTTACTTCTAATATTTTAGTAATGATGTACCCATTTTTATGCTTTGTTGTTAGGAAAAGTATATTGCCCAAAGAGGAATAAGAACCAACTGCTATTTTAATTACCTTGCTGGTGTGTCTCAAAATTCGTAAGGGGAAATGTGGATGAAATTATATTAGTATATAGTGTACCTAGTTTTTAATTTTCTAATTATTCATCAGTGATTTAAAGATTGACTTAAGCTAGGCTTATCTGCTGCTGCTAAGAGCAGATTGGCAACCCTCAAGATGAGTGTTACTGATCTAAATTCCACAACTGAAACATAAGCAAAGCACAGTAGTGATGGGGTTATTCAATTATTTATGTGTGTACTGGAGATTAAAATTAGAGTGTCTGAGATCTTTACAAGTTTTGCTGACAATTTTCCTTTCAGGGCAATAGAAGCACTCCTAGTTGACACCTAATTTTAAGCAACAAGGTGGGATGGTTGGGCAGGTAATTAAAATGGTAATTTGGGGAGTAAGTAGACACATTGCTTTTGCTTTTGTCAAAAATAAAAGGCTTTAGAAAGGAATATCCCAAAACATTTATTATAGAGTACAGGTAATATTTTAGTGTAGAAATATAGTATAGTTATATAATTTATTTATTCAACAGATGTTTGATGAATGCTTAATATGTGCCGAGTTCTGTGCTAAGTTTCCATGTTCATTTTAAACCTACACATGTTGGTTTTCTTTGACTTTTTTTTTTATTTCAGGTGAAATTGTTTTTCAATAGAGCCTGTGTTTTAAAAAGCTAAAAACAAAACATGCTGAATGGTGAATAAGGACATAATGCCATATTTGCCTGGGATAACTCATGTATGAATGTTCTTCCTTTTATATTTTTAAGTTAATTTATAAGTAAAATATTACAGTTCAGTAGGGTTTCTGCACTCTATGGTGAGAAGCGATGAAATCCATTATGTAATGCCCACTGCCCAAAGATTGTTTGAATCCAAGTTCCATTAACTGCTCCAAAACTAAGACAAGAATCTTGACTTGGAATCAGTAAATGAGTTTAATATTTAATGATGTAATTGGCATCTTTTCATCGTTTCTATTCTTGCATGAATATAATTTAAAATTACTCTCTGGAAACCCGTTGTTCTAATATACATCATTTTTAAGTTCAAGGAAAAGCCACCGTTTATTAAGTAGATGAGTATTTTTCTCTGAGATATTTTGTCAATAAAGGAGTAAAATACTTTGCTGGTATTGTTCTACTAATTAGAGAAAAAAAGAAGAAAGTAGTATTTTTCTCCTCTCCTCCCCATCCTTCCCCTCTCTTCTTCCCTCCCTCTTTCTTCCTTCCTTCCTTTTATTCTTTCATTCTATGTATGCATTTATACATTTATCTAGTGTTAGTAACAAATGAACGTTATGAGAAGCTTCTTTTAGCTTGCAAACATGGGGAAACAAAGACAATTGATCTAGAAATTTCTTTGAGATAATGTGAAAGAAGAAACCACAATGGCATGTGCTAGTGAGCAGAAAACAAGAAAAAATGGAGTAAACAAAAAGAATGTGATTTGCATCTGAAGAAAGCTCATTGTAGCCTGAAATGATAAGACAGTAAAATTTCTTATATATTCAAGTCACAGTTGGCATTAATTTTTTTTCTTAAAACACTTTTCGGTTCAATTCATCATTGAAACCTCAAATAATTCATGAGTGCCTACTGTTTCTTTGGCACTTTGTTAAATATTTAGCAAAAACAAGACATATGATGTTTAAGTTCTACTTAAGTTTCTACTTAGTAATTGCATCCTGGGATTTACTTTAAAAGAATTCTGAATTCTTGCCTCTGAATGTTGAGATTTCTTCTAAGACCGAGGCTTTTCATTTTTAGTCTGAGAATTGCACAACCTTCAATGCAAAATCTTGTTGCATCTTTGCTATGTAAAAACCATGAAAACCAGAATCACTTGGAAAAACAAGCAGACTAGAGTTCAACAGTAATGCTTCTCTGCTATATAATCTTTGGGCAAAAATAGTCAGAAATTCATTGCTGTGAATTTAATACTTTTAAAATGAACACTTTTATAATTTTTTTCTTTGAATGCAAAAAATGGAAAATTAGGTTATGAATTTTCTTCTAAGTTTCTGTTGAATTTTATAGTCTGTGATTTCTTTATTACTTTTTATATTTTGAGTAGATGAAACAGGAAG